TCAGAGGTCTGTTTGAACTGATTTATAGGGAGAGTTCAATGGATCAAAGAAGCTGCAGGCCGACAACAGCAGGAGAATAAAAACGATGTATGCAGAGGTTAAAATGGTTCAACAAAGAAAATGGAGCTCTTAAATAGACCATAATATGCTCAGTTATGAACCTGTTTAACAACCTTTTCTCTTCTACTTGAGTGTTTTTTGCTTCTGAGGTTCTTCTGATGTCTACACTGACGACTGAAAGTATTCAGATTCACGTTTAAAATAATCTTAATCCTCCCTACAGCAGTGATGATGGCAAAATCTGGCAAATTGAACCTACTAGCAGGCCGGGCTATGATAATCTGTGTTCAGTTACGAGAATGCAGTCATGATGTCAGCAGAATAAAGATGAATTTATCAAAAAATAAGTCATAAAATTTTTTGGGAAAAAACTGTTTTAGTCATAGCCATACACCATTAGAGTTAACCTGATGGAATATGAATCCAAAGTCCACATAAGTAAAAGCTGTAAAACGTGCCTGTCAAACAAGATGGCGGCTCAGAGGATGGTGACATCACTCTGAACTATGGAAACCGAAGGAGTGCATTGGGGAAAGAAAAAAAAAAAACAAAAAACAAAAAAAAAAACAGAAAACCACTATTTTCCAAAAATAAAATCTTCAAAAAACAAAAATTACATTAATTGAGCATTAGATTTTTGTTTGGATGTTTTTTGAAAAGCACTCATCTTTTTTAAAGAAACTAAATTAGGCCATTTTCAGTCATGTTTTAAATCCTCAAAACAAACATTGTGGACGTCCAAATGAGCAAATTGTGTCGTTTTAAAAGAGACATTTTCTCTGTTTCAGATTTCCTGAGTGGTTGGCAGTCAGTACCAGCATTTTACAAAATGACTTTTTATCTGTTATCCTACTGAGTTCTTAAAGCAAAAAATAAAAAAATAAAAAAAAAAAAAATCCCAGAATCTTATTAAACGATCGACTTTTTCTTTGCGCAGGTTGCAACGGCGATATTACCAGGCTGTTTTGGAGAGCATTATTTATCCCAAGCCCACTGACAGCGATCAATAATGCATTTGTTCATGCGGCGTTACCAAGCAGTTGCTATTACAGAATGAGATTGTTCCAGGTGGATGGGTACAGGAAAAGACAAAGTACATTGGGCAGTTCCAGCACTTAAGTAAAGTTTAATTGAAAAAAAAAATAGGAGGGATTGTAGAAAAATAAGTGAAGAATAAAGACGGAGAGGATGATGAAAGAAATAGCAGAAGGTAGAACTAAAACTTTCACTTCACTTAGTCATAAGTGACTGTAAAGCTGCATTAACGCTGCCATAGGTTTATATTTTAACCTTAAATTAGATTGAAGTTTAATTTAAACTGGTGGATGAATGTGTATTTAACGAGGGGGGAGCCGGGATGGACCCGAACAAATCAGAATCAGTTTTATTAGCACACAGTGTTTTCACACACAAGGAGTCTGACTTCAGCTTCAAGCGCTTGCTTCGTACCGACATTAATTAACTAATCAACTTAGATTTGAATTTCTTTTAACAAGCATGATAAAAAAAACAACATATTGTACAACTTCAGAATGTATGGGGACTATGATGAGGAAAAATGTAATACAAATAATTCAGATCAAAATCACAGGTCAGGTGTGAGAAAAAAAAATCATCATTACATTTACTTAATTTTGAAGCATTAGCTTTAGAGACAAATGCTAAATATAAAGAAAATATTCAATTCCTTCCAATTCTTGATAAATCCTTCCATACATGAATTCCATACAGACGGTGGAGTCCGACAACGACAGGCGCTTAAATTCCATAACAAAAGTATGTTTTTATCTTTTTTTTAAAAATCCTTTTTTATTTCCAAAATCTGTCACTTTTTTACTGTTTATTCAATGTCAAATGCTGTTTTTATTTTGCTTTTTTAATTATGTAAAGGACCTTGAAATGCCTTGCTGCTAAAATGTGCTATACAAATAAAATTTGATTGATTGATTAATTCAATTCATTTCATACATCTCCTTTCCCCTGGACCTTATTTTGCCACCTCCTCATAATGTTTTTTTTTTTTTAAACTGTGTGCTACTTTTGTTTTATGAAAACTATTTCTATTCTAATAACTGCACATATCTCTACATTATAATCATGTACAGTATATCATTATTACTTTTATTGTTAATCTTCTATATATTCTTCAACACTTTTGGAACTTTTGGTGTGAACCTATGTATTTGATGCTATTACACCTGAATTTCCCCTCTGTGGATTTATAAAAGGATATTTCTACTATATTTTTTAATAAGTGTACAGTATTATTTTCCTATGCTGTAAATTTGCTCGGCACAGTTTCTTATTCGTTTATCGTTTTTATGTCTTTACACATTTTTACATATTTCTATTCTAAAGTACATGAATGTTTTATGCTACAATGAGTGTGAATGTACCAAGACTACACAAGAAAGATTATAGAAATTATTTCAAAGTTCTCCTGGACTATTTTGCCACAAAGTCCATCCACATTTTTAAGCAAAAACTGTTAACAAATTTTTACATGGAAATATCAAAAGGAATTGGTCATTTTATCTTCTTTAAGGTAATTTCCAGTCAGCTTGATTTGAATAAAACATCAAAACCTGATTTGTTTCATGAACTTTGGTCGTTTACCTTTCAGGTTCACACAGACCTGCTTTAGTTTTTGACTAAATGCAGTCTGACACATGGTTCCTCCATCCACGCTTGACCCCTACTGGACATTTCCCACATGTTGACAGGGCGGCAAAGATTACAAGACACGGGTCACCAAATATGGCAGGAAAGGTGTAAACAAGAGAGAAATGGTGGGCCTTTTTCTGTTTCTTCCGGCGACTCCTCTTCCGGCCATAAGGGCGTCCGCGGGGATGCTGGTATGTGGAGCAGCCGCGGCTAATGTCTCCAGTCAAACTCCCATTGCTTCGGTTTTTAATGAACCAAACGCACTGCAAAGTTTGATAGATGGTTGCTAATTTTTAGTTGCTTCCCCTCAGTGGCTGGAGCTCAGAGGTGGAGGAAACCTTTGCTCTTGTAAAGCCCCAGGAGTAAAACGTGATGGATGTTCTCTCTGTGTGTGTTTTTAGAAGGGATTATTTACCTGAATTCAACACCCACAATAAAACCACTGATATTTGAAGAAATGTTTCACATAGAGCTGTTCTGAATCAGATAAAATGTAAAAATAAAAACACGCATCCAAGAAAGTTTATTAGTATTTTAATGGGACTAAATGGAACGAAGCCTCAATTCTGATAGGCCAGTTTAAAAGCTGTACAGTCAGTTTAAATACATTTTTTCATTAAGCCCACATTTTTGTATTAATGTGTTTTTGTTTTTAACTGACGTGATTTAATATTCTAATCTTAAATGTTGTGTTTTCATTAGCTGTAGGAAGAAAATCATAATAAATGTGACTAGATATGTTTCACTTACTGAATTAAGTTACTAAAATAAATCAAAGGTTTCAATATTATTCTATTTTACTGAATGTGTGTTATTTATAATATTTTGACCAAAATCTGTGCTCATAATTTTGTTCTGCAAATAACCAATAGACAACTTGTGATACAGTGGCACCCTGGGCAGACAGCCATATTGTCCTTAAAAAAACAAAAAACAAAAGCAACACTGGTAACCAAACTGTCTTGCAAAACATAGATAATCTAAAAAAAAGGAAGCTGATACTGCAAATAATGTAGCTACATATTGTAGTTTATTCAGCCTCTTCATTTCTTTTTAGAAAATTATTGGTTTGTAAAATAGTGCTTTATTTTGTGTCATTTTATTGTAACATCGTAAATTTACCAAAATAAAGCTAATCTGATTTGATTTGTCTCTCTGGCAAAAGTTAATTTTTAATCAAATTCACTTCACTTTCCCTCATGAACAAATAATTTAGCAGAACATTTAAAGAATCCAAGAAAATATCTACAGGTTAGGGTTAAATTAAACAATTTAATCAGACTGATCACATTCTCTGTTGCACTCCAACCAATTAAAATGCAAGAACTTATCTGATTTTTTTTCTGCAGTAGAAAGCAGGTAATGTAGTCTCACAGTACTCAACATCTACTAAAGGAAACTTGCTCCACTACACATCCATATAAGTAGTATCAAACTTGTTCAGAGGAGAACTGACAGATAAGATATCATTTATTTTCTAGGTTTTGGGTGCCCCACCCCTTTCCAATGCCACCCGGGGCAACTGCCCATAGCACCCATGTCAAAAACTGCCACTGTGTGAAGGTTTTTATAAAAATTTTAAGAAAATGTGTTATTGTCTCAAACTAGCATGTCTGATGATCCTCAGTTTTCCATTATTTAATATTCAGGAAGCTTTAAAGGAAGTCATTTTGTTCCAGTTCCTCTCCATTCATTTCCTTTAGAACTCGTGCAATGAGGCGACAGTGGCTTGTCCTCATCCAGCCGAGTGACCGGTGTAATTTGTGCATGTGAAATGTCAAGCTCATACTATAGATGTTTACACTCAGATTAGTGACGCAATACAAGAAAACTGAAAAATGTTCAACTTATGTTGCTGTCATGGAAAACCTTCACCTTTTGCGGTCGTTTGTCATTCCTCGTGTATCGAATCATAGCGTGCTGCTTGAACTGGGTAACCCTCCAATGGAGAAAGGCTGTTAGGTCAAGATAGTAGTTCAATTAATCTGCGCTATGTCATATTAATGGCATAACATTTTTAGATTAATTGCATGTAAGCGCATTAATGTTGACAGTCCTAGTTTTTAGCTTTGCCCTGTAAAATACTGTCTGCACTTTGTCATCCAGTGCCTGGTCCTAAAGAAGTATTTTACTACTAAAAAAATGGTGGGAACTTTCCCAACTTCACTATAACCAATGGTTTATGACATATTTATTGACTTTGAGTCTCTTATTAGGACAAATATGAGTGTATTTGTGTGAGAGGAGCTTGGGAGAGTGCAGACACTTTGACTTACCCCTGCTTCACTGCCTTGTTCTTGCTCACATTGATGGTGGTGATGGAATGCTTGGCGCCGGGCTGCACCTCCCAGTCTACCTTCCACTGAGCATGCTTGGACTTGGTCTGCAGCAGGTTCACCCCTTTCTTCGCTTTGACCCTGCGAGGAAACGGCAGGGAGGAAAAAGAACGGCACCAGTCAGTTTTATTACAGGGTATGATTTATGTGGCGGGTCGAGGGTGAGCGCCCCCTGTGCGTGCAGCGGACCTCCACCTTGTGTTGCATCACAGCAAAAGCAATACCACAGATGAATCAGCTGTAGAGATGAATGGAGACGGCAGAGCGGTGATGCATGAGGCCGGTGGGCTGGGACCAGTGCATGTCAGGCTGTTCGCCAACGCTTCCACAACCCCTCAAACAGAAGCCACTGGGCATTTCTACATTATTAACAAGCAACATATGAAGGCTCTATTCATATGCCGGGTGGACTTGTGTGTCATTGCACCTGCATCGCAATTTTTTTTTTCTTTCCAATTTCAATCGTTTGAGTTTTTGACACTAAAATATGGTATTCTGTTCTTGGGAAATCTTGCTTTTCTAACCTTCAGCTCCATGGGGAGAATCTCCTTGTAGAGGGAAGTCAAGGTTAAAGAGAGGACATGGTTGATATTTTTCCTCAAACATCCTACAGAAGTGAGAATGTTTGAAACTTCCAGAATTGACACTAAAATCGACCAAAACGTGAATGGAACAGATTGAACACTGAATATTTTACTGGCATAAGGGACGCTTGTTTTATTTAATTAAAACCAAATTCGCTTCAGTGTACAGCTAAAATATATTATGTAAAGAGGAGATTCATGATGTATGTGAAACATATATTTCAATAATAATAATTATAAAAAAACTTTATTTTTGCACATAGCCAGCCCTGGTTTAAGGATAATAAATGCAGAAAAGTAACAGTATGTTACTTTGCATCTCCACGCCACCTATAATTATGCTTACCAATCTAAATACAAGCAAAGACATGCATGCATGGATGCACACACCAATTTACATAAGAACCAACATATGCTGCACATTCAGTAGTTTGCAGTGTCTGGAGAGAGTCCTCTTACACAACATAAAACCACAGAGTGCATACTTACAAACAAGCTTTATGTAACCACATTAACCTGCAAAACCTTCAGAAATTCAAATGGACGCCAAAAACTATACATGTTATATCAGCCTGCACTGAAAGGGAACTGAAAGGTGGAGAGGGAATGCTATGTTTGTAAATATTTTTATTAAAAGGAGTAGACGCCTTGCATCCACAAATGTATCAGTCCGTTACAGTATCATGTTTTCAGGCTTGATGTTTATTTTTGCGATTAATAATCAATTGTCTAAACACAGCGGTGGTTGACTAGCTAATTTAAACATCTGCACTACTGATGATCTGCCAGAGTGTTGGTTTGTGGGTTGCCTCTGTTTTTTCTTTTTTATTTTTTATTTTTAACTGAATCAAAACATTTAATTCTGCAGCACACCTACATGTTAAAATAGTCAAAGTCAAGCTAGCATATTTGACCTACTTCACTCTCCCTCGCGATCGTTTTTAATTAAAAACTTTTCCAGGTCTTGTTATCTAGATCAGTGGTCCCCAACCTTTTTATTACCGTGGACAGGTCACGACTTGGAAATTTTGCGGGGAACTAAAACAAGAAACTAAAACAGGAAACACAGGAAATTAAAACAACTGATTTCATTTTTTTCTATTAATGAATTTAACATTCAAATATTTAATTGTGTACAAAAAGAATTATTTGACCATATGCTTAAATAGGTTTGTTTGTGTGTAGTTATATAATATTTAGTCTATCTGATACTCCATAATAATTACTTAAGGAGTAATTTATTAAATTGTGAGAATAGTGTCACTCCTCAGTATTTAATTTAACTAGTGAATTATTTGTGTCAGTGTTTAATTAATTTTCTTCTACAGATTTACTCTACTAGGTCACAAAGTTGTTTTTCATGTAAATTTACTTAGTCAGTAGATGATGAATAATTTTGGCTCAAGCTATTTTTTTGGGGATGTTTTTGCTTCTGTTTTAGGTAGTAAGAAATGGGGGCTTATTCAGACCCTAAATACCAAATACCACACACCATAAACATAGCAGCAAGGTGTTATTTTATTTATTTGTTTGTTTAGTTATCTTTTACACAGGTTCTCATGGGGATGACATTTAGGAGCAGCTAAATTGCAACCTGAAAGCTGGTGACATAAGAACAGAGGGGAATCCCAAACAGCTGACGTGTTGTGCAACAGAGTCCAGTGGATATCGGAGATGATATGTGAAAATGTTTATTATTATATGTAAAGGTCATTATTATATATGTTTATTATGTTTATTCAGTTAAAAATGTTAAGTATGAAAAAAACACAGTCACCTCCAAATTATAGTGCAGCAAAAAAAGCGGCTGCTCCCGTCGTCTTTTATCCACCACCTTTTCTTTTTGTTACGTCTTTTATCTCTTAAAATGACTCCACAAACTATCACTATTGCTTCTACATCGTCATCCATGTTTGGTCATTCTACATTCCCGCTATGTTGGGGGTTTTACTGGATTATCCTCCAGAATCGGGATGTTCGTGACTGGAATCGGTTCGTGTGGTGTGTTGCTCCTGCCTTGTGGCTGAACACGAACCGATCGAACCTGTTGTACTTTTATCAGCTCTGTGATCACAGAGGTTTGCAAAATCGGCCGACAATCCTTAAATCTTGCCGTCTAAACCAGACTTAAGACTCATAAGCTCTACTCATCTACTCGGCCACTGCCAAAACGCTCTCTGACTCTGGTCGCTATGGTAACGTTTACATATCCCTAAATAAGATACAGATGCGCCACAAAAATGAACATTTTACTTTAGTGAAAATTTTAACTCACGACAATGACTAGCGGGAGCCCTGAGCTTGTTTCTCTGCAACGAGACGGTCCCATCTGGGAGTGATGGCAGACAATGGCACCCAAAGTGTTGCTTATATCCACAGCCTGCTTGGTCTCTACGTGGTGAAGCAGTTTGAAGCTTCATTGCCTCATTAGCAGCCGGTCACCGCATGCTACAGAGAGCGGCTTGTAATGTGGGACTCACCTACCGGTCCGGGATAAATCCATTCTCCTGTCTCTTCTCTGGGCCTTTTCCCTTTGCAAAGAAACTTTCCAAAGACACCTGATCTGTTTCTTACTCATTTTGCTGCTTGTGGGCCTAGCGTTGGCACGTAAATAACCGAGAGAATCCGGTTAACGGATTTTCAAAAGAAAAGATCCTCCAGACTCAAATAATACATAAAACGGAAATATTTAATTATTTCTTGTGCGGCCTGGTACCAATTGGTCCACGGACTGGTGCTGGTCTGCGGCCCGGGGGTTGAGGACCGGTACCCCAACTGTTGATAAGTGGTAGAAAAGGACCACCACTTTCTTTCTTTCTTTTATTCACTATGCGGACATTTAAGAGCATTATGCATTATGTTGTCAACCTGACAACATAAACCAATGGTAGTCATCATCAACAGTTTATTACCCTCCAACAGGGAGCTTGAGAGCGGGATCTTGTGCATGTGACGTCACATTGCAACGTGTTTGGATTTTTTTTTATATTAACTTGAGGACTTCTCCTGTTTTTCTCATACTCCCATGATTACTGCTATTCTTAACATCCTTTAGTTTAGCCTTCTGTAGTCATTGGTGAGACTTCCTTGTATCGGCCACATCCTCAGTCTGTCAGTAGTTCTAGCCTTAAACATAAATTGTTGCCATCTTCCTGATGTATTCCAGAATCTTTGCTGTTTCGTCGTCTGACTGACTAGCATGTAATCTCAGAATGTAGAACTTGAGGTTTTTTTTCTTGTATCACTGGCTTCTGTTTCTTTTGGCCAGGCTGTTACACCAGCAGGGCTGCTGACTTGCACTGCATACATACTGATGGACTGAACTCCAGGACCTACCCTCACTCTGTAAGGATTTGGTTGTGGCTGATTTCATTGTGACAGAAACTATTTCACCCCATTTCTCTGTCTAAGTATCTATAGACTGTTCATACACACACAGCGCAGGGCATCCTGGGTAGATACAAAAAAAAAAAAAAAGAAAAACACACAGCTTTAGCACCAGCTGGAGAAGGAGCTTGTGGTCTTTTACCAAAGACAACAGCTAGAATCTGACACCACCACGGTTTGTCTACATTTTGTGAAGAAGGAAGCTGTGTTCAGTGTCTTCCTCAGAGGTTCCTTCAGTGGTTCTTGATGCAACGCCACCACAGACAAGGAGGTGAAAAGGTTTCTCAAAGGGTTTCGTTTGTTTGACTCAGTGAAAGACTCAGAGTGAAAGAAAACCGGAACAGCTGGAAATGTAACAAATGTTGCAATTTTAGTCCCTAAACTTCGACTGGATTAGCAGGTGGGAAAACACCCATAATTTATGACCATCTTTTTACAGGTTTCCAGTGATATTTTGACTGTGCTGTGTAATGTATTTATTTCTGGTGCTCAACACGTTTAAGGGTGTGAAATATTTAGCATACTCCACGTATTCACTTTCTCATTGAAGTCTGGACTTTAGATAGGAATCTCCAAAACATCAATTTAATCACCAGCTGGAAGAAACATGTTTGTATAATTAACATTTATGACGGGTTTGAATAATTTTGAGCATAGCTGCATGAAACACACATGGATGAAACTCAGTTTTAGAATTTCTCTATAAAAATAAGTTGAAAGCTAATCTTGTATAGAAATGAAGATGCTTTGAGAGTCGTACGCCATATATATATATATACATATAAAATAAGTAAACGAAACAACTTTTTATATTGATCAACTTTCTTTACATCAGTAACAGCAATCAGGAACATTCATAATTTATGTTCTTTTCAGTTATAGTTAATTTTGTTTGTTGATGTAGCTACAATTGTTTTAATTTTTTGTTGTAGTTATGCAATTGATAAAGTATATTTAGCAGTATATCTACTCAATATTTTAAGTGTAAATTTGTTAACTAAATGTTAGTTTTAATTTTTTAAGTTCCACTTAACATATTTGCTGCTTGTAATGTCTCAACACAGCCCCAAAAAAACATTACTTAAATTCTTTTTAAGCCTTTTTTTAAGG